GAGAAATGTCAAGCATGTTCTTCCCTTTTGGTTTTGTAACTCCAAGTATTTGCACATTTCATTACAGTAATTGGCTTTGTCTGCTCCAGTTGCTCTTTGAAATCTTCTGTTCAGCTCTTTTATCTTGTCATTTCTTCCATTTGCTTTGGCTACTCTCCACTCAAGGGCAAGCTTCAGAGTGTCTTCTGTCATCCATTTTGGTCTTTTCTTTTTTATTTTTTTCATCTTTTTAATGACCTCTTGGTTTCTTCATGGATGATGTTCTTGATGTCATCCCACAATTGTTCTGGGTTTTGGTCTCTGGTGTTCAACACATCGAATCTATTCTTTAGATGGTCCCTAAGTTCAGGAGGAATATATTCAAGGTTGTATTTTGGCTCTCATGGACTTGTTTTAATTGTCTTCAAGTCGAACTTGCATATGAGCAGCTGATGGTCTATTCCATAATCAGCTCCTGGCATGGTTTTGGCTGAATATATTGAGCTTTTCCATCACCTCTTACAACAGATGTAGTCAGTCTGATTCCTATGTATTCCATCTGGCAAAGTCCACATGTTTAACCACTGTTTGTGTTGTTGAAAAAAGGTATTTGCAATGAATAAATCATTGATCTTGCAAAATTCTATCACGCAATCCCCCGCATTATTTCTGTCACTGAGGCCAAATTTTCCAAATACCGGTGATTCTTCTTTGTTTCCAACTTTTGCATTCCAGACACCAGTGATAATTAACACAGAAGTCAATTTCAGACTGCAGAAGTTGATTAAAGTCTTTAATTTCCTCATCTTTTGCTTTGGTGGTTGGTGCATAAATTTGAGTAATAGTTGTATTAACTGGTCTTCCTTGTAGGCATATGGATATTATCCTATCACTGACAGCATTGTACTTCAGGACAGATCTTGCCACTTGCTCACTCTGTCCTGGACACCCTGGCTCTCCTTTCCTTTCCCCTTCGCTTTTCCTGCCACTTGAGGGTTAGGGCCTGGGTCCCTCCCCTTACCTGGATCCCGCTGCCGGTTGCTCATTCTGTCCTGGACGCCTTGGCTTTCCTTTCCATTCCGCTCCGCTTCATTTTTTTTATGTGTGTGTGTGTGTGTGTACAATATATATGTATACACACACATATATATGTATATACACACACATATACACACACACATATATACATACACACACATATATATATATATATATATGTTTGTGCTTTAAGGAACAGAGATGGAAATGTTAAACTTGTGCCTGGATGTTGCTGCATCCTTGACTAAGGTGACCCACCCAGGCACGTGAAGTTTATCACATTAGGATGACAGGAATCACCTTCTTTAAAGCAGGCTTTTGAAGGTAACTTATTAAACTTACAGATAATTGGGCGAGAGTTTTCATCAAATTTTCTAAGG